TGCCCAGAAACAATTTCAAACATGACCTAGCAAATTAAATGAAAAAATTTATTAAGCTGAAATTTGAATACAAGCAGCCTCTCGGCTGAGATAGCTCCGCTGTTAGCAATGCACATTTCAATTAAAGAACAGAAGATATCATTAGGAAATGAACAATATGCATAGTATCAATGCAATGGGACTTGCTGTTTTCAACAAGAATTCAAAAATATTATTTTTCACCATAAATGATTGTGATTTTTAACAAGAAGTTGAAAATATCACTTTTTACCAAAAATGACAAAAATATTCATCAAAATTAGAAAATTCAAGATATCATCATGAAATGAACAAATTTGAGAGTGGTCCACAGGTAGTACCTATATATGTAATATCAAAGCAATTGGACTTGTGGTTTTTAACAAGAAGTTGAAAATATCACTTTTTATCAAAAGTGACAAAAATATTCACCAAAATTAGAGAATTGAAGATATCATTACAAAATGAACAAATCTGAGAGAGGTCTACACCAAGTATCAAAGCATTCAGGCTTGTAGTTTTCAAGAAGAAGTCGAAAAAGTAAACATTGACATGGACGACGACGAACAATCCTTCATATGATAAGCTCCGCTTGACAAAGTCGACAGCGGAGCTGATAAAAAACAAGTCATGACATGTATTCAATGGGAAATGCATGTAATTATGTTTACAATAACGGTTGTATGTAAAGCATGTAAATACATTGGTCATGCGCAGGTGATGACTCCCCTGCTTTAAGGTTAAGGGATTGCTCTTTTTTCTATTTTGGAAAGTTTCTCTAAATTTTCTGTTTTAATATTAGCAAATTTAGTAGCATTGAAAAAATTAAAAAAGATAATAACATTCACCTTGCAAGTTGAAGCGTGGGAGTCGTCACCTGCACATGCGTCAGATGGCCATAGCGTGTCATTGTTTATAAACAAGTGTCTACCCATGAGCCATTGCGTTTTCAGCGTGTGTTGTTATCGTCGCTATGGACTCAGTTCCCAAGTTGTACATTGTATGCTTTGTTCAATTTGAAAGACTGGAGACCACATAAAAATAAGTAGCTGAATATCTATGTATAATGTAAAATGCTGAGACTCACCACCCCAAAGCTATATGTATCAACTTTGGTTGAAAGTCGAAAATTTTTCAGGAACTCTGGAGGCAGATAAGCTACTGTGCCATGGACTGTTTCTGTCTTCAGGTACGTAGAAGTTTGATTGGCATTAGGGCCTTCTCTTGCCAAACCAAAATCACCAATTTTAGGCTCATTGTGCTTATCCAGCAAAATATTACCACTTGAAATAAAACACAAAAAACAAACAATGAAATTAAGTCTGTAAACACTGAACATCTCATAATTTTTCAACCTCCAATAACAGTTATATAACCTGTGACATGCATAGTTGTGAATTGATTGGACATAGTTATCCATCTCAAGTATATATATGGGAAGCTTGAATGTGATTGGTGCAGGGATGTACGAGTGGAGACACATACACACAGATGGGCAGACAAGTGAACACACAGGTCAATCACTAAGTCTTGTTTTCAGAAACTTCCCAGTAACTAGCAATATATTTCATAATACCATGTTTTGAGGGAAGTTTCAGAATTTTGTTCTCAATATGCTAGGGAACTTTTCCATCATGAAAATTTGCTTTAAGTTTTTAATTGTGTACCTTTTGATATCTCCATGTATAAGTGGTTTATCAATAGCTGTGTGTAGAAATTGGATTCCTCTAGCCGATCCTTTAGCAATATTCATTCGTAATTTCCATTTTAGTGAGAATCTGTGCCTCTAAAAAAAAAATAATAAAATAGATCAGGTAAATTATGAACTGGTCAAATTCTATATTATTAATTTACCATCATTGTGTCTGTGACATTGTAGAGGTTTGAGTCAAAATTAAAGACTATATGTCATCATATTTTTATTGTAAATTCCATCAAAATATGAAAATGAAAAAAAAATCTATTTTTTTTTTTGTAGAAAAAGTCAATATCTAAGTAGTTGGTTCAATAATCTTAAAGCCAAATTACAGTTAGCAATACTAAAGAAACTGTCTCAACACACAAACATCAACAATTAAATATGTTACAATCAAATGTCCAAAGCAATTGATATATACGGTATATGTGAACTAGTTTAAAAAATTGATATATCTGATAACAAATTTAAAACTCAAAACATAATATAATTGAAACCAAATTACAATTTGGAAATTTATTTAATAAATTTAAATGACGTAAACAGAAATTCTGGGGAATTAACCCTAGTTCAGGTGCTAAAAAATGCAGACATACTGGGGGGGGGGGGGGTGTTACAAATCTGAAACTACCAATGAATAGCTGATTCTGTAATACCTGGTAATTGAATTGTAAATAGGTCTGTTTCCATTGTTAAAAATATGAACCACAGAAATCTCAACTGTTGAATAAAATTCAAAGTCTGACTGACAATAACATTTTCCTGTCTCGCATATTTACTTGCACACAAAGAAATAATGTTATTTTAGCTGCAACATTTTTATTAAGTTATTAAATTTTATTTGTTTGGTTATTTCACTACGCTTATTCTACTAATTTTTCAAAATCATCGATATGATGAAAAAGATTTTTGTTGTTGCAAACATATTTTTACACAGGAACATTAATGTTAACTATTGTTGTTATTACAGGCACAAGGGTAAATATACAAGTCCCTGTTTACAAACTTTGTTTGAACAGAACCTAAAAATAAAAAAAAAAGTCATTTTTAATGGACAAAGTCCCCGTTGGAATTATAAGTCCCCCTTTTAATTGATATTTTAATTACCTTTCCAATTAAATTATCCTGAAGTGATCCATTATGCATGAATTCATAAACCAAGCAAGGCTCAGGACCATCAAGTGAGTAAAAACATAAAGGCACTATGTTGGTATGGCGATACCTGCAATAAAATAAGTATTTTTTATAAATTATTCCTAATTTGGATACATACAATTGCCAGAGTATGAAAAGCAAAGGTTAATGAAATTAAGCTGTTGAAACAATTAAAATCAAACAGGGGCTACCGGTACTAGCCTACCAGATCTTTGTTTTTGCTTCACTTATGCAAGCAGTCAGGGATGGTTATGATACAACAGGCATTTTTTACTTATATTATTTACTTACTTACTTACTTAAAGGGCGTCAGTCGTCGCGCCGCGTCCTGTTGGATATGGGATGCACAGCGACGTATACAATGCGTGTAAAATACATTGTTTATTTACATGAAATTTGAACACGCGCTGTGCGACGACCACCGCGCTTTAAAGGCCCAATTCACTTGCCTCAGGCAAGTGTGAATTGGAGGTGTGGCCATGCTAATGAGTGTTGTTAATCACTTGCATAGCCTATGAAGCATGCTGTTTCAGCGGTCCAACATCACGTGACTTTGATTGACAGTAACTAATTAATTAATCAAGATTAGTAGCGCGTCCCTTTCTCCAGTTCGTGTTTTTGACTTTTATTCGCCAAAATCTCAGCTCGTACACTATTTATTGTCATAAATACTACACACGGTCACTGCTGTGGTATTCATAGTCACATGCAACCACTTTGGCACAACATAATCGACCTGTAAGTTTGAGAAAACATGTCTTTACCGGAGCTGTTTACTTCAGTGTGACAAGCAAGGAAATAATCCCTATTGTTTAGGAGCGTATTTATAGTATACCTGGGCCTTTAAATACATACTGAAATGTTCAAGTTATGAACATTGAGTTACGAACATTGAGTTACGAAAATGACCACGCCCATGTTTGTGAAACCATGCCCAAACTGAACTCGATGTTCAATTAACAGACAAGTAACTCAAATTTTGACAGTTAACCAAACTTTGAGTTATGAGCAACATATATTTTTATTTTTGCTTAACATTGTACATTTCCTGTAATTTGAAGTTCGGTTAACTGTTACTGCAATTAAAGTTTGAGTTACTCAATGTTTACGTTTAACAAAAATATAAAAATATGAGTTGCTCGCAATGTCTGAAACTCAAACAATCCAGCATCTGGTTAGATGTGTACATTATATTTTTATTAGGCAACAAACACCTAACTAAAGGTAACATGAAACATATAAACAAAAAACATTTCTATAATATTATGTACATACTTCAATAAGGCAACAATTTCATTTATTTGGTATTTTCTTGCGGATCTTTCCTGACTAAAACCGGTGTGTTCATTCTGCAATTCAAAGTAAAGTATCAATGTAAGTTTCAAATAACCACATAATAACCATTTATTTGCAAACTTGCCTTTTCCCATTGGATTATGATGCGAAAACCCTCTTACTGATTATTGAGATCACCATGAAAAATGATAATTACGTTGATTTGGCCACAAATCCTAAACTTCTGGTGCAATGAGGCTAGGTTATGGCGTCTATAATCACCAAATGAAACATAATTTTCATTATTGTAATCACTCTTTATTAATTAGGAGTATCTTTTAAATTTGATTTCCAGATCCTGTTGGACAAGATTTCTCATGAAGGTTGAGGCATGTATGCAACTTTTGTGAAGTACACACCTAACTCTTTGATTATAGAATGAGTCACACAGTAAATGAGCCTGTGAAAGAAATTTAGAAATGGTTTGTTTGTTCTACTGTACATTTATGGGGTAACTTAATTAATTATGCCAGAAACAATTTTTCGCCAAAATCAACTTTTGTTAACTTTCACAAAATAAACATGTAAAATTTCTCCTGTATTTCTTGGAGGATTTTTATCAAGATCATTTGTCCATTGGTTCGTAAATTACCAGAGAAGGAATAGCTTGATCACTGAGCCAAACAGAGAGAAATATTACCTGCATCAGTCTTTTAACTGCAAACGGTGTTTCGTTTAACACAGCTCTGTAAACCCGACCAAATGCCCCTTCACCAAGTATCATTGACTCATCAAAATCATTTGTACTATGTGATATTTCTTTGTACTTCTTATGGTTCATAGTCGCCAAGGCAGTCATACGATCTCTCTGTCGTTGTTCTGTAATAGCAGTTAATATAACTATTGTGTTATTGTCTACATACATGTACATTGTCGATATATTTTTCTTCATTTCAATTTTAACGGCGCAACAAGGAATAATGAGTTAAAAATTGATCTGTGATTTAGACAATCTCTAAAAGTTTCTAAATATGCTACTATAACAACCTACCATAAGCATAGTTTAATATGGTAGTGCATATGCTATATCAATGTTTGTCTAAAGAATTACCTGCCAACCCATTTCGCTATTGTACTCCTTTGACTATTCCTGCTATTGAATATACCATTTTTTATCACTTTCAGTCATGCAAATAATCTATGAATTGCACAGTACGTTGGTAACACAATAGTCTAGACAGTCTAGACTTCTCATGTTTTTTTATCTGCTTTTTAACAACCGAGTGCAAAACATTGGATTTTCAGATAGTGGGTGAAAAGCCACACTGCCTGGAATTTAGTATGGATGGTATGCATTTGCTAAGGCTTTAAGATTGGTCAAGCTGTTTTCACTCGACATTTTTAACACTTTATAAATATTTTGTATAGAAAAATATTTATTTTTTGTTGCTAGAATGCTCTTGATATAATTTTTTTTTTCATTTAATGTTTCCAACTGTTACTGTAAAACATTGCAACAATAATAAACAAGCATAGTCTCACCTTCTAAAGTAAGTGGTTTATCACTCGCATCCCAGCTTTGTAATATCTCTAGATCTCCTAACTCACATAAACTGTTGCTGTCGTACACCTGTTGACGTTCACCTTCAGAAAGATTACATGACGTCGTAGAGACTGTTTGAAAAGATGACGCATGTCTCTTGTCTCCAATATTCAAATTGATCAAATCAGCTGTTGGCAGCGGGGCACTTTTGACACTTTTTGTGTTTTGTGCTTTATTTGATTCGTACGTTGATGGGTAGTGTGACTGGTGCATTTCTTGCGTCCGATCAAAGCTTGATGAGGAAGATGATGATAGTGATGAACTCTGAGAACAAATGCTACAAGTCAAATCTAACTGCGGAGGTTCTGGTATTGGCAAATCTGGAAATGAATAATTTAAATACTTGATAAACAAGACATGAATGTCACAGTCCCCGTCATTTAACTATAAAATAATACATGGAACATCTTCAAACAGGTGAATTATTATGTACTCTATGTGGGTACAACTCATCACAAGCGGTGTTTTTCACTGGACGAAATAAGCCGTTGAAAACACTGTTAAAATGTGTGTGTGAACAGAATACGCCGTTGTGGTGTTGGTGTTTTTGACACCGTCGTAAAAGGGATGGACCAGATCCTAAACGCTGTTGTCACACCGGCTCTTGCACAACGCAATGTGCCATGTGAACACAATACGACAGCCAAACGCCTTCTGTTGCCGATTTATTTATGCTTGTCATTACACATTGACTGATTAGCGACCATGTATGTGAAGAGAGTGGTGGTTGATCATTACTGCCAACGTCCAGTCTGCAGGAAGATTCAGATTCCATCATACATTGAACAATACTAATTTATTTTTGTAATGAGCATGTTGATTCCATATAATTATATTAACTACTGTAGAACACTTTATTTTCACTTGGAATTAATTTTCGTTGAAGGAACGACTCAGTGAAAATAAAATTCAGCGAATATACCTTTTTTCCTATATTTTACATTCAACTCGTCAAAAATCAGTGAAAATACATTCCATACAAAACACCAAAAATATTATTTTAGCAAAAATTAATTCCAGCTAAAATAAAGTATTTTACAGTACACCATTATCACCCTAAGTAATGGACCAAAATAAAATAGCAATATCAAAGGATGTAGGCATAAATCTCTCCCAGCTCCCTTTATATTATGGCCACTTTTTCAAAATTTCAAGTCGTGACAAGTTTTTCTTTTCCAACTTTGCTTTGTTTGTTTTTGTATTTTTGATCTGTTTTAGTCTTGTAGTGATGCCTTTGGCTTTTTGGACTTTACACCTTATGTTTGTTTGTGTATGTTCAAAATAAAATATAACATATCAAACGAGGAAACTGCAACTCGCTATTCACAAATGTTTTCTCAATTAGCATACATTTGCTAGTCCAACAATGTGTCCTGGTATATGCACAGTTTTTCTGTTTAAAATACATTTCAAACTTATACCCGGTAGAATGTACTACTGTCTGAATATTTACTCGCATGTTGCCTGCTGAAGTTTTGAAATGAGTTGCTAGCACTATTGGTCATAATAGGGTTTGAATGAGACACATACAACCTTGTGAGAATGTCATTTTGTAAGTATACTGGTACATGTACCTGCATTGAGGAAATAAATCACTAAAAAAATTTTGTCACCAATCTGTAAAATGTTTAATTTCAAAATTTAGGAGAAACTACATAATCCAGTGATTGTTGCTTTAATATTTATTTTGTACTGTATAACTGAAACACAAAATTTGAAAAAGATTTACCTTCAATGTTGATACCTAGAAGATTAACGAATGGTGTGTTGAATGACACAGTCTCTGAACATCGACATTTGTTTACACTAGCATTGCTATGAGCGGAAGTGGTATAAGATGCAAGTGAGTCTTCAACTGGTTGTTTAACATGGTGAACTGGATCCACTGTAATAAGAAAATATTTTATTTTTATTATATATCTGTCACCATAGCGCCATAAGTTACAGTGTGTTGTAATTTTGCGGTATTTTACGGGGTATTTTAATCCTACAATATTGGGAAATGTGAATTCCAAATATGGAGCGATTACGCACATAAGTGTCCTCTAGTAATAAAAACAAACATAGTTGAACTCTGGTGACCTTGCCCTTTGTTATATAATATAATTCCCTTTATCATAGTTTGTTTCAATATAAATATGCATTGTCATAATTAATTTTGAATACAAACAAGTTTTGGAGTTGAACCAACAGTGGGGAATCGGTCTACCGAATGTCCTTAAAAGATGTAAATATCTTACAAAAACATTGGTGTCTTATTTGTTCAATTATTTTAAGGAACATAATTTCCAGCTTTATTCAAAGTAATTCAGATATTTTAGAATAAAAACAAATGTCTCATTGCAAAAAAAAAGTTCTGCATTTAGATGTGAATAGATTCATAAAACATGCAAGATAACAGAAAAATTTAGCTGGCTTTAGTCCAAGTATTTTGTACAGGTGTCTGTCAAAAATTAATGATTCACTGAGACAAATAAGAACTGCCTCATTGTGTGACTACTGTATTATATGAAAAGTAAAAAAAAAACACCCTTTATGAATAGCTATCATATGGCAAGCTCTGCTTTGTATGCAAATCAACTTAAATAGTTAGTTGGTGTCCAGTGGAGAGAGAAGATCTTCAAACACTGCAATCTTTGAAGTGCGTTTTTAAACTAGTATTATAAAAACTCTATCATTCTGTTCTAATAGCTGAAACATATTCCTGTGAATTTTCATTTGTCGAATGAACTGTTTGTCAAATACAGAATACATATATTTTAGAATAATTTTCTTTTTAAAATGTGGATGAAATGTTTTGCTTTTAATGTATTTTTTATGTATTGTTTTTGATTTGATAACTTTGAACTAAACAGATTTTCTATTAGCTTCAGATCTTGATCAAAGTTAGGCACCCAGTTCATAGGAGTGCTTATATTGATTTTCTGACATCTTGTTTTCTGTAAAGATTTTATTGGTAGGTTTGCAAATGTGTATCAGACTGTGCAATCTCTTCATGAGTTGGTTTTGAAACCCAGTATGGAATTCTGAGATACATTACCAAGGATATTATTACAAGATAAATCATTTGCTTCATTGAACACATACAACAATGCATATTTCCACTGAGATCAGTGACCTTTTATGTGTATCACCAGTGATCAGTCAAGTAGAAACAGTCAAAATATTTTATCAGATGTTCTCAATTTTTGCATGATATTTTCATACAGGACATCTGTTGTTCAAACTCAGGGAAGACTTTATACTGATGAATAAGGTGACCAAGTTTGATAAAGTTTGGAATAGAATTAGTAAAGTTATTATGCACACAATAACAATTATTAACGACGACGACAACAACGACAACGCCGAACAAAAATTTCCCCTTAATATACCTTTCCCTTCCATCTTTGATGGTACGGGCAAGGTAAACATGGCTGCCTCCAGGGTTTGACCGGACCTCATACAAAGAAGTTCACTCAATCTGTTCTAAAACTTTTTGTATTTCGGCATTCCCATGATATATCTTCGGGAGGAAAAGATGTACATGTATAATGATAAGGTTATTACGAGGACACTGAAAAGTATACACTCAGACAGTACGTGGTCGCATCAACCTCCGCTACACGTCGGTCGCTACTCCCACTGTACTGTCTTCGTGCATATTTTCAGTACCCTCGTAATAACCTCATACTATTATGTAATGTGGTCATGCAACTTCAAGTAGAACAGCAAAAAAGAATTTGACCTGCACTCAACACAGAATCAAAAGGAAAAAAAAATCATCACTGGTGTGTGCGACATTGGGGAAATGTATGTTTTCACATTGGGACAGTCCATTCTCTTGACATTGTGGTTTGTGGGTAATATTCGCTCACATCCGAAACACAGTGATTGGTTTTCAATATTGATGCATCAGCTTAAAATCGACCTTGCAACTGATTCCTATTGCTTTCGTGCTGCTTATTGATTATTATTAATTGGCTTGTATAAATTGAATCTGTGTTTCTTTATAATAGAGATACATGTATTAAAGTGCTAAATCTTGACATGTAATAACTTCTACTGGCTATATCTCAGCTATTACTGCTTGTAATTGAACAAAATAAAGATGAATAGATAAAGCAAAACATGATCTAATAATACAACTAAATAAAGAAAGATTAAAACTGAATAAACAACAACAAATATGAATCAATGAGGAAAAAAACACAAGTGGATAAGCATCCACAATAGACATAATGAAAATACTTACCATATGGTTTCAGAATGTCCATGCATCTAACATGATTCATTTGTTTCAGCAATAAGAACAAATCGGTAACTGTACTATCTCCCTGGCCATATACACGTAGCAAATCGGTGCATGGACTGCCACTATTTCGGCGGTAAGCCATCTTGAACGCCTCAATTTTGTGTTTTGGGTATTCCATTAAAGCAGCTGCATAACAAACATAGTGTAATAATTATAATCCATGTTCATACAATGTAGATACAAGCTAAAATGTAGGAAAAATAAATTAGAAGATGTAATACCACAGTACGTGTTAATGAATTGATTGGTAAAAATTGATGTGTTAACAAAAAATAAACTTCTACTTTTGACACATATAACATAAAAGTGAGAGTACTGTAGCTGCTGGTTTACATGTAAAACAAAATAAATATTAACAAAATAAATCGCAAGCCAACTAATATTATATATGAACTGTACTAATCTTGAGGTTCATTGGAACATGTACATGTACACATGTATACTCAGAGTACTAGAAGAACAGATGGCAATGGCTATTCTAGGTGTGAATTTGGATTAAATCTGTAGGACTTGTGTCAACCTTGTTTACTGACACAAGACCTTGCTGGTAGTTTATTGACACAAGCTTACCCCAAAATTTCCAATTATACTTGCTATCATCTTGTGTGTTTTCATAATGTCATTCTAGTGTCAAACAAGCAATCTAGAATGGGTGAATCTAGTCAGAAATGAAATCTGTCAGCTTTATCCTTTTGAACGGCATTTTTTCTGTTCAAATTTTTCAATTTTTAAGAGAATAACTGCATTTGCATTTGTTTCTCATCAACGATATTTATGATTATATAATGAGCAAATACAGAGTAATATTTTTATTTTGACATTTAGCAGTTTTTTCAAACTTTTTTTATGAAGGTCCAAAGGTGGTGATGACGTTGACAGTGTTCGTACATATTTTGTAGTTTGTGTGGACACTGCAATTGAAAACTTGATATGCACACATAACCTTGGATGTACGCTTATGCCAAAACCTTGGTCACTAAAAACTGTGTCAAAACTAAGTATTTAAGTCATTTAATGTTCAGTAGGAACTTCATTGAGCTAAAATGTGTAATGGCAAAGTATTTACTAGTAGTATACTTGGATATCAATACTTCTATGTATTTGTCCACATCTAGGTTACTGGAACATCGTCATTGAATTTGCTACTTTAAACGATCGTAGTACTGAAGTCAATGTCGTAGCTTCTCCTAAAACAGTCCAACCACCTTTAAATTGCTGACTTTCAGACCTTTAGCAAATGATAAGACCTATTTTGCATCATGAGGCCAGTCGAACAATCGCATCGCAGAGTAAAGTTTTTAGACCCCCGTACTTACATACATAAAAATTAGGTTTATCAACACAACCATGAAAGTAAAAATAGCATCCATGATAAAACTCAATTAAATTTAATCACTGCTTTTGAACTCTCCCAACTTGTATATTTGTGTTCATACATGCATTCAGATGTACAAGCATGACCTTGAAGATTGTCATGACCGAGTGCCACAATTCTTGTTTTGAGATTTATTCGATATATTTTAATACAAATGTTCATAAATGTTTGATATATTTTAATAATGTCTGAATGATGTTTACTTTGTTGCACGGTTCTTGCATTCATAGTAATCATAAAATTTACTTCCGTGTTTGCAAGAAGTTGAAAACTATGACCATTTTTTTTATGAAATTTAAACTTACCCAACTTCTCCCAGTTGTTCTTTCCTAGCACATCTAATATTTCGGATAAATTCTGTATTTCTATCGCTGGAATATCACTGACATACACAATTTTCCGCTGCCGTCCTCTTCCAGATTTCGTCGCCATTATCGTTGTTGATCAGTACATACGATTCAAAAACTTGTTTTCACTTCCTCAACAAATCAAAAAAAAAGTTCTATGCACAGCCGAAAACGACATTGAAATCAGCCAAATTCACATTCTTAGAGGTCAGAAAAATGTAGCAGTCAAAACTTCATACTTGCATGTATGGCGAATATTATATCACGGAAGTGTGATGTCGACAACAAATTGCTGTCGTTAAATGTACAAAACGGGGGATTTCCCCGGTAATGACGTTATTACATTGCTGACCACTAGTGGCGCTGTTCGCTAACGTTTAACTCATGGCTGCCGCCGTATTTTAATAGAATCTAGCAGAACAAGTAACAACTATCGCTTTAGATATGCATTAAGTGTTGAAATATTGCTTTTAAATGATAACAATAATCCAAAACTCAGCTACTGAGATTTGCGCATGGTCGGTGTGACCATGGACGTACTACCAATCCATGGAACTCCATGGTCAGCCATGCATATTTAGATCGTCAGGCTCCTGTCGTTTGTGTTCGCCCGACAAGGAATAGTCTCTCTTTCACGGGGTCGTGACAAACACAATGAGTTATGCTGGCCCTCCTGTTTTGATAGGCATATTCAGTTCACCATACCTCCAAGACTAAAACTAGTATCTTAATTCGAACAGTAAATTCACGTCAACCTTGAGACAACAGAGCTCGGCCACTTTACCACTGCTTTCCGTTTTTCCATACCAATTCGCCAGTTTAGATTTACATTTTATTATATATATGAGCAGTAAAACAACCTAGAACTGAATTATTTGTAACTGTCCATCATTGACATAACTTAGTAGACGGAATCAATAAAAGATAGATAATTGACAAATGAATAAATGTTGAGAACTATTTTCGTTATTGTTGACAAGTGTAAGGATACAACGATTGTCATCAGACGACACAGGCCGAGGTCATCTACCCCGTGTAAGCCCGAAGTCGGACAGTATACGCACGACGTTGTTAATGTTGTATCAGGCTTTGGTTTGTTCTTATCGACACTTGCCGTGAAGTATGGCAACTATTTGCTTGAGGTATTACACTAGAGTTATTAGAAACGCGTCATTTGGATACGGCGTGAACGTACAAACGATAAAGGCGAGGATTCCATTTTCAGTTCGTCGTTTTTCAGCTGTTGCAACACTCGGGCACCGATACCATGGCGTGACTGTTCGGAGCAGGCGACCAGAGGAGAGGGCACTGTGGCATGACCGGCTGTCACGAGACCGCAACTTGTTACGTTTACAACACACGGCCAGGTATAGTTCACAGAGTGACATGTTAGAATGGAGCCCGCACAATTTCGCGGATTTTCTGCGAGAAAATGATATTCAACGATGTTACATGGTATGGGATCGTACCGACTGCAAGGTCAAAGTGTCGCACCCTGAACTTGAGCCCATTGAGAAATATTTTGCCAAGGACAAAATTGACTACGATCAGCACGAGGGTGTGTTTTTACAGTTAGGACAAAGGACCGGCTGTTTACTTGGTGCTTTTATCTGGCGCACAAACCGGGGGCAAGCGGTGAGTCTATTTGTAGGCAGTCTACTGTTAGTATTCATGAACCTGCCAATTAAAATTGTGTATTAGGTCGCGCCCCTATCGTGGACCAATAAAATAGCTTGAATTTGTGGGCGTGTTCAATAGCTCGACTATACACATGTGAATATTATTACCACTTTAAACAGCACTTTTGTGGGTGATCGCCAGGTTGAAAACTATGCTTCAAAAAAAAAGTGTTTGAAAGTTGCGTATTAACATCACTTCCGAAATGGTGACCAGATCATTTGTGTTTTCAGAGTTTCCAATGATTTCTGATTTTTTTCCCGGAGCAATCTATTGATATGTGACACAGTTTGGGATGTACATGTATTAGGTTGATGGTTGTGGACAAATTAACAACAACAACAACAACAACAAATCAACAAAACTGCCTACCGTTAACTATTTTCAGTTGGCTTTGTATCAAGATTTGTATTGACTTTAGTTTTCTGGTTTTGTGATCCCCTCATGATTGATGCAGTACTAGTACCCTACCAGAAAAACCGGTATAGCCACATAACTGCAGCTACTGTGAACCTGATCATTTTACCAGTGCAGTGTCTACTTAACAGAAGTGATTTGTCTTTATATTAATGCCAGCTGCCTTGTACACTCTACTTGATTTATTTTAGTGCGGTGGTGTTCGGCTTTGGAACTACACAACCATAGAGCAATATTTGCGTGATGGTTTACGCCTTGGTCAAGGCATGGGTGTCAAATCTGCTTTGGCTGGCTTATGGTAAGTTGAGTTATTTTATGCATTTTCAATTCTAGAATTTGTGATAGTTTCCTCAATATTAATTTACGATTACGGTACCCACTCTATTTGAGGTGCGTGTCAAATAGAAGCTTGTATAAACCAAGAATTACATTTAGTGCATACTAAATCATTAAAATGTTACCTGCATATGACCACTCAAACACTCCAGTATATATGCTACTAATAGAGAAAACAGGGTAATTGTTCAGATATTTTTGCCACCAACAAAAATAATGTACTGTGTTGAATGTTGAGATTCAATTTATTTGTACATTAGACATTTTTCTAAAAATTCATTATTACTGGAATCTCTGTTTGGAGTATTAGTCTACTATTTAATATTAACTTGATTATTATTCACTGGTACATCCCTAGTAATCTAATTCTCATTCTCTAGTTGCTAAATGGATAGATTACATGTTTATTTCTGTTAGCCTAAAATATATGTGGTGTTCCAATCACTCTGACTCACTGCTCCACTAATGCCCTACCTACAATGCGGAGTGGAACACTGCATTAGTAGAGTTTGGTACACTGAGTGGAACACTACATATGTTCTAGGCATTAGTGGAGTGAGGCGCAATGAGTGGAATAATGCATAGAAGCTAGGCATTAGTAGTGAGGTACAGTGAGAGAATTCCTGCATGGATTCTAGGCGATAGTGGGGTAAGGTATATAGTGAGTGAAATACTGCATAGATAAGTTTTTATTCTTGTTGACCATAAATAGCATCACCATTTTTTTTAACCATCTGATTGATTTTTCAGTTTTTATCAAATCTGTAAATAATTCCTGTGTAGTATTTAGTGTTTCGCCAGCTACATGAAAATATCTCTTTGATGACCTCCAAATAAAACTGTATTGAGACATCCCAAAGCAAGACTTCATCTTAGTATAGTTTTTGATCTTTCACTGCAAACATCAATGAAATGCATCATAGCAGCCATGCAATGCTACTAAAATACTGTTATTGCGATGATACAATGTTTGCTGCTCTGTTTTTGCTTTTTTTGTATATCATTTTGCTTGTATCTGTCCATGATCCAGGGCTGGTGGCGGCAAAGGCGTCGTCCAAGTACCCATGGCCAATAAACACTTTATCCAAGATTATCGTACTCAGATCTTCTATGACTATGGCGATTTCTTATCTTCTTTGAATGGTTGCTATGGTATGAATATCAAATAAGTTTGTATTTTAAACCACTCCACACTTTTATTATGTGTTCAAAACTGTTGTCAGTAGTGTACTTCATCTTTTTCATGTTTTGTCGTTGCTGTATTCTTTTTTATCTTTGTCTCCTCGTTGTTAATGCATCGTTTATTTGCAGCCTTTCAATCTTTTCTCTTCTTCTTTCGTCTTTCATCTTTTTATTTCAGCTGTCGTTTTCTGTCGTTATCATATTTTTATTCATGTTGTTCTTGTGAATGTTTGTTTGAAAAGGGCATGTTAAGAAAGGTTTTCCATATTTGGATTTGAGATCTGGATTTATATGTGGTACTTTTCCCGTTTCAAGGCACCAAATGTCAAATGTAAAAGTTTTAGAATAATTCTTTAGATTAATTAGGAAGAAAACTTTCAGTAAAGGACTCCAAGTTTTCCTGGCATAATCTGCTTAAACTTATGGCAAAGCTATAGTTTGTATATCACTTATTATCAAAGGCAGCATATTTATGTTTAGACTGGTACAGATATAGCAGTTTGCTTTGTCATGTCATGTTTTGTACATATTAAAATTGTCAATATGATACAAGAAATTATTTGTCAAATAATCTTCCCAAGTGAATATACCGTATAATTATTTCAGAATCAGACAAATTGACAATTGCAAAATTTCACTGCAAAAATATTCTCTTTAATTTACAAACATGTGCATATATTTTATATATGTGTGTTTAATGTTTACATTAAACAGTGTTTATGGACACAATATTTGCATAACCCCACGTGTTTCCTGTTTAGCCATTCTGTACCGCAATTGCGTCCAGTTAGCAGCGTGTCACCTGGTACATATGTAATTACTTGATAGTATGAAATTTGTTTTAATAAGTACTTTCAAAATAGACATAGCTTGTGTAAATTGCTCAGATGATGCACTGATTTCAGTCGTAAATGGCTCACATACAAATTATGTAAAATGGCAGTTCAGATACTGTCACCTTGCGACTGAAAATAAACATGTTGACTTACAGTTATTTTTCGCACAAATATGGTCTTGCAAAAATGACATTGATGTAAATGGTGATTTTTTTTTCATTGGAATAACCAAGGATCTAGACATTATGCAAAATGCATACTGGTAGTTCAGCACAGCCAATTCTAATTGTAAATTGTGACAGGCTTGTTTTTGAATACACAGATGACAAACTTGGGTGCCATCTGCAATAAAGCTGACTAGAAATGTATTTAATCAACCATCATTCTGATTTGCAACAAGCCAAAATGCTACAGTTATAAATACGTTGCAGCTGGCATATACTTATTGCAGATGGATTGATTTTGATTTCAATCAGCAGAGAATCTCTTCAATGGTCTCCATGTCATCCGCTTCAGATCAGTTCTTTTATTGTTGTGTGATCAGTGTACTAATTTGTTGTTGCACATTTTGTATATGTCTATCGTGATTTCTCTGTTTAAAAACAAAAATTAATGGTAAATGCCTTGTTTTTTAGTCGGTTATTTAGTTGATTGTTCATTTTCTCACTGTATTCCATCTTAAGCACACATTAACATCTAATTGTGAGGTATTAATGTTAAAAGATGAGTACACTATTGGCATGTAATAGTATCGTAGTTATGTAATATTATAGTGGTAACAAGTTAATGACTTCTGGTATATCTGACTTTATCTCAATTTGAGGCTCGGTGGAGGAACTGGCTTAATACCAGAACCCAAAGCAAAGAAACATATTCTTCCGGATTTCCGTGCCGCAATGTTTTATGACTACGGGGATTTCCTGTCCTCGCTAAACGGGTGCTATGGTAGGCAAATTCCAGATATCTAGTTTTATTGCTGGGAATGAAATGTTTTGTATTTGCTTTTGTTTCACTTTTCTCAATGCTATCTCAGTGTTATTCCTTTTATTCTTGTGCTTTCTCTGTTTTAGGTGTAATCACATGCACTCATAGCATAACTTTTTGCATGTGACAATATTGTGTGTTTGTGTGTTAACACTAGTTCTATACATGCTAACAGAATTATTCACAATTTTGCTGACTTGTTCACAGTGGTGAAGCATGTTGTACTTGTACATTGCTTGTCAAATAGACATGTATGATGTTGACCAGTTCTGTTTTATTATTTGCAGTTATACATTGATTATAAAAATGTAAATTACTGTATGTTTTGCATAAAATGCACTATACTGTATGTGACCACATTATCACTCAATGTCCTCAGGAAACTATTATCATTAAGGAAGGATGGTCAGCCGAGCAGCCTCCTTAGTAAATAGTCAAAATAGCATTTTTCTCTCATCACGTTGCATATTTGGATGCACTAATTACTTGTTCTCAAACAGGAGGGGTTGAAATATTGTTTTATGAGATTAGTTACATCATCATTGGTCTCAACAACATTGGCGAAACACTGAAAAAAAAATTTAAATGTGAATCGTGTTCATTCAGAAAATACAGCACATAAAGACAGATGCTTTTGGCGAATCAATCATCCTCCAAAAAAGACAATCCTGTGTTTTTTTTAACATGACACATTGTTTTTGGAATTTGTTGGGCACTTAGTCAAATGTGACTCTGATTAGAAAAATCATGCAAAATTGGGATTGTGTGCTTGACTGGACACGAGTGGTAACATGGTCGAATATGGTTGTACATGTAGTGCTGATGCAACAAATTACATGTGGTTTTTGGTCTGTTTTTGTGCTTTTTGTAGAGATGCATTTCTATAACATAAATGCACAATTAATCAATTTAGCTAAAAATATATAAAACAATTTATAAAAAAATTCTGAGTAATGACCCGTTGACTACAATAGAACCGAATTTAATAACATGCAATGTACCATTGTAACACATGGTTTTTCATCCTGTGGTTGTCAAAACATACATATGCATATTTATTAATCATATATTTATTTTTCACTCAGTTACTGCAGAGGATGTAGGTGTAAATGTTCATGATTTAGATCACGTACATCAGCATACAAGGTATACAACCTGTATTCCAGAAGAGAAAGGAGGTTCAGGGAATCCTTCCATTGCAACTGGTAAAGGTATGTGGTCCACTTATTAACTGATTGAGTGACATGCGTATTTTATCCAGTAAATTATTTGCAGAACTTGGCTCTACTCAATGGCGCACAGTGGGTTGCAAATATTGAAACTATATATCAGGTATAAGGCGATTAAGACTGCCTTCAAGATTATCCATATTGTTAAAGTAGTGCAGAAAACTCGGCCCTTACTTTTCTGCCATGTGTTGTGCAGAAGGTGGACTTTTTGGCCATGTGCATGTTTTATACTAATCATTGTTTCTTAAACACTGTATAGTTGTTTCCTAATTCATAGGGCGTATGAAAAATGTTTATTCATTTTCATCTATTAAATACGAGTACATTACATCTTGTTATTAATACTTTGTTCCAAAAATATGCATGGTATAAACATTTTTATTCACTAATAAGGATTTATTCCTACTGAGTGCTATTTATATAACCAGCCTGATTGTTTTCATACTTATGTACATTGATGTACCTTGGATGGACCTATATCGAATTTATTTCTTTGTTGTCATATCTTCAATCCCCCAATTTTTAGCTCCCGTGAAACTGAGCTTATGTGGTACCGGTCTCTGTGACTCTGACTAAAATTTGTTCCACTGATAACTCAAGATCTACAATTTCAATTCAAATGAAATTTGGCACACAGCTAATATATGATGAGTAGATGTGCTGATTAGATTTTGGTGCAATTCCATGCATATTAATTAGTCAATTATTGCATTAATTAGTCCCCATTCAGATGCAGTATCTGTATCTTAGAAATGCCTGGACCAATCACAATTAAACTTCACACATACATCATACATGGTATTATACATATGCACGTCAATTTGTTTCACGATCTGATTCAACATGGCCGAATGGCGGCCATTTTTGTGCTAAAAATCATCAAAATCAAGCATTTCTCGGCTGTTTACAGATGGATTATGTTCAAACTTGGTATATACATTAAACATTATAGGACCTTGATGCACATCATTTTGTTTTACAATCTGATTTAAGATGGCCGAATGGCGGCCATATTTGTGTTAAAAAATCCTAACAATCGAGCATTTTTCAGCTTTTTACAGATGGATTTTGTTCAAACTTGGTATATACATTAGACATTATGGGACCTTGATGCAAATAATATTGTTTTTCAGATAAGATTCAAAATGACCGACTGGTGGCCATTTTGTTTTAATGACTGTGGTTCTCGTGCCATATCTCTGACTTGCTTTCACTGATTATGTTCAAATTTTCAATATTCATTATACATTATGTCATAAATAGACAGATATATTGGTTTGATGATCCTATTCAAAATGGCCAAATGGTGGCCATTTTTGTGCTAAAAAATCATCAAATATCAAGCATTTCTGGCATTTATGGATGGATTTCGTTCAAACTTGGTACATATATTAGACATTACAAGTTCCTAATGCACATCATTTATTTTTCAGATCGGATTCAAAATGGCTGTCTGGCGGCCATTTTGTTTTAATGAATGGGCTTCTAGGCTCCCATATCTCAGACTTGTTTTGACTGATTATATTCAAATTTTAAATATTCATTATACATCACGTCATAGATATACAGATATATTAGTTTGACGATCCTATTCAAAATGGCCGAAAGGTGGACATTTTTGTGCTAACAAATCATCAAATATCAAGCATTTCTGGCATTTATGGATGGATTTCGTTCAAACTTGGTACATACATTAGACATTACCGGTTCCTGATACACATCATTTTATTTTTCAGATTGGATTCAAAATGGCTTTGTTTTAGTGATTGGGCTTCTAAAGCCATATCTCTGAAATGCTTTGACTGATTCTATTCAACCTTTATATATTCGTTATACATCATGTTTTATATATACATGTATTCAAAATGGCTGATTTTGAATGCTGTTACAGAGCAATATCTCTCAATATGGACAAGTACTTGTTTGACGATCAGATACAATTTTAATGTTAAAAAATCATATTCCTGACATGGTTATATTCCAGCCATATTACTATAAACAAAACTAGTTATCTTAAATTTGATAACAGGGACTGTGCCATGCATGGCTTGTTAATTTATAACTTAGAGTCTTTAAAGTTTCTTAACAAATATTTGACTAGGGTGAGTAGCCTAATTTGCATATTGTAATAACGTATTCTGTCGCAAAAAAAAACTGGTAATATTTCATTGGAAGGTCTGCAAATTCACGAATTTTAGTATATAATGATTTATTATATCATGATTGATGTTATTTGAGCAGATACAGCGACTAAAAACATCAAATGTATGCGAGTATGGGGAGTACGCATGCGCAGTTACAAGAGTGATGCAGCCATTTTTTCAGTTTGACGAAAAGGCAGTACCCTTTCCGATTTTCATGAACGCAAGTTCAATTTCACTTTGTGCGTCATATTCATCAATAGACAAAATCGAAGACAGATGTCGTACAACTTTCTGCCAATCTTGATTTGTAAATGTTCTGGTTACATTTACAGTGTTCTCCTCGGGCCTGCGTCACTCAGACAAGAGCCATCTGCAGTGTTCTCATCAGGTCTTTAAGGGTATCGGGTCCGATAACTGTTCTTTCTTTCCACGATACTGTTTCCCTCAAGCTGGGCCGTTTCCAGGCCATTGTTTTGCAATGATGAATCAGAACAGAACAATTCGTGTGAACTGATCAATCCTAACTTATTATCTGGATCTCGTATTCACCTGTGGATACTTCGGCCTACTTTCAAGCATGAATATAGAAGGAAATCAACGATTTTTTTTCAGTATAGTTCCAGACTTTGCATGAAATTTATATAATAATCACAGTGATCACTACTACTGTAAAGGGGTTAATTATTCACTGGGTTTTAATTTGGCTTATTTCGCTGACTGGAAAATGCGCTAAATTAAAACCCAGTGAATATGTAAAATTTAGCATAGAACACATTATCTAAATGATAAAACCGTGAATTTAAAACC